TCACAAGGTAGCCTTGGCTGACCTGACCCTTACGATGCACACCAGGATGGCCTCACATGTACAGGGAACCTCTTTGCTCTGTCTTCTGAGTGCTAGGATTACAGGTATATGCTACCACCCCTGGCTCAAGAGTATCCTTACTGTACCCCCAGTGAAAACTTGGTACTTTTGGGGACCAGAACCTCTCTCAAACTCCAGAGAGTCTATAGTAGTAAGAACAGGAAGCATTGAACACCCAGCTGATCACTGAGTGATGGGAAGTATGGTCATTCCTGCCTGTATCCCTTGGAAGTTACCAAACCCGGGTTTTCTTCCTATTCGAAAGACAATGTTAAATAAGAGGCCATCATCAAATGCACATATTGATTACCAGAAGACAGCAGCAGTCCTCTCAGTATGCCATTAACCCGCACTTTGGCACTGCAGTCAGCAGGCGCTCCAGTGCTACACTGTCTGTTGCGGGTGTGGTGTGTGATCAGAGGGATGAACGAGCATAGGCCAACTCCTGTAGCTCTTTTGCTGTCACGAGAATACTCTTGCCAGACAGGGTCTTATGTGGACTCTCTTACTGGAAGATGTGAATACCCTGAGATCCTTCGGGTCATGCTACTAACTAGGCCATAGGCCCAAGAGGCACACCCATCTCTCAAGCACATCTCCTGTGGTGATAATATATAGCGATTGTCTCTAGGACTGAAGGGATCAGATGTAGTCAGCTGCCGAGTTGGTACTTGGTCTCTTTGATGAAGTGTGCCATCTGGTGGACACAGCATTAGATCTGTGGCGACTGGGTTGAGCATTTGTTGATGGCAGTGGCTAAATAACTCATGGGTGGCCGCCATCCCTGGTTCCAAGACCACAGCTGTGGTTTACTCATTATGCCAACATTGGACTGACTGATGGCTGAATCTGGGTGATAACAAACTGTCATAGAAATAGTAATGTTTTTTCTCTTGGGGTGCTTTCTGGTAGATGCTGCCGTGTAAAACAAGAGACGTGAAAGCTTCATCCCATTGGCTTATGTACACCCACATGCTTCTACCCCAGATTTCTTTCATGATAAATCTTTATGTTTTAGTCTAGGGAAGAAAGATGGTTAGGCAAACCGTGTAAATAATTCTGTATGTAAAATAATGTGTCTAAGTCTCTGTCCACACCAGGAAACAAACAGACACAACATTCAAGTCTCTGTCCACTGGGAGAGCTTTTATTTTCAGGCAGAATCTCACAGCCCCAGGACTTGGGTTGGTCCAGAATCCATAATCCTCATGCCTCAATCTCTGAAGTGCTGGGATCAGCAATGAGACCTCAGAGATGGCATTGCTTTCAGAGACACTCCTACAGTGGGTGGAATGAGACACCCTTTGGTTTTGACCTATAAACAGTCTCTTCTCCTTCAACTGCTCAGAATACATTCTCCATAGTCACAGGAGACTGAGACAGAGCATCAGGTCAACTGTTTGGATGCATCACTAACAGGTCTGAGTTCCCTGCTCATGTATCTTGTTTGTGACCTTTGACTGTGTTTGCAGGAGTGACTGGCATTTTCACTAGGCCTGCTTGAATTAATAGCTTAGTTTCCTGGTTCAGTTAGTCTTGTCTGTAAGGTCTCCATTCATGATGTGCAGTTCTAGACACATGGTATCATGGTGTCCTTGGCTTATTCCACAATTATCAGGAGCCAGAAGAGTACAAGTTGCTTCTCAAACTGAGCATAGCTCTCTGTTTTTGGTGGACTGGCCATGTTCTATCACCTCAATTCTGCATTACTGTTCTCTCACCAAGTCCTCCTCAAATACCCTTATTCCATTCTTCCTTCCTGAGATCACTCTCGCCATCTGAGAGATAAGGTACCCTGGAGACTGCACCCCTCCCAGACTAAGCTTGGCCACCCTAATTACCATCTGCCACCAACTCTGCCACCCACGTCTCCATCTCTCAAGGGAGATCTCCCTGCCTGGGCTCTACCTGCCTATGTTCTGAAAATCCAGTCTCTCTCTCTCTCTCTCTCTCTCTCTCTCTCTCTCTCCCTCCCTCCCTCCCTCCCTCCAGTTCTCATGTAGCCCAGGCTGGCCTCCAACTGACCAGGCAGCTAAGGCTAACCTTCAAGCTCTGATCTTCCTTTCTGACTGGATGCTAAGGCGTGTTTACATGGTGCTGAAATGGAGCTTGGTGCTTTGTGTGCCCTATGGAAGCCCTCCACCAACTGAGCTCCCATCCTGGTCTGCTTGTCTTCTTTGAACCAGAGTTTCTGTAGTCCAGGTTGGTCTAGAACTCCTGATCTTCCTATGCTGTTACCCTCACCATAGGAATGACAGGCTTGTGTCTCATACATCTTCATTTCCGATCAATGAACACCTCTCCAGCATCCCCAGGGTCTGGTATTAAGTCACTATCATGAGAAAGTGGCCACAAGGGAGGTGAGTGACACTAACCACCTGGGGTGCCATTCCCACAGTCACACAGTCATTAGGCAGCCTGGACAGGACTGATATGCTCAGCACCATTTTTGGCTGCATATACTTGAATGGAATGCTACTGGCATGGATGACACAGGGTGTCAGCATTGCTCTGGGACCTCCAGTGTCAGGAAAACCATCCGCTGCAGCAAAGAAGGACTTGTCAGAAATATCTGAGGACTGGAGTGACCCACAGATTCAGATGTGACGATGTGTGTTTGAAATGTGGAGGTGGGGAGGCATGAAAGCTTCCATAACCAGACACAGCTGGACTCAGCCAGGAATACAAGGTACATTGTGGTTGGACCAATGTGAGGGAAATGTGAGCTACAGGCCAGCTGGGGATAGTCTGGTAACAGAGCATCCAGTGTGGACATAAGTGTTAAGTTGGGAGTGTCACCCTGGCCCCTGGCATCCAACCCAGCCCCCTGGTCTGGGAGGTTCATTGGTGTGGACTCCAAATCCCAGCATGCCAGGTCCTGACCCTTCCCTGGGAGAGGATCAGGACCACTCTCACAGGGTATTTAAGTGGCCTCCCAGAGGAGAAACACTTAGTCACAGGTTTGATGTGCTCCCTGCTTTTCTGTCTCCCCTGCCATGCTCTCGGCACCCAAGAGTGCTGTACTTAATAAAACATGGGCATTTTAATTCTGTTTAATCTGACCTAATTTGATTTATTTGTGCTGGTGGAGTGGCTTGTCTTAGGATTTTTCCTAACAATAAGAGAAGCCAAAGAGACAGGGTCAGATCCTGAGATGTCACAAAAGTGGGAAGGAGCTGGACTGCCACTGTATCACATGGAGACATTGTGGAGATTTATGGAGGGTCTGGGTGGAGCAAGGCCCCATGGAGTGGTATCTGCAGTTGCCAACACTGCTTACAGAGGCAGAGGTCAGACCTATGTCAAGCAGGTAGGCTCTGGCTGCAGATAGGAGCTGTGGCACAGGCCCTGTGAATGCCCAGGTTAGGGAACATTTCCTGTGCCCCATGGGCTGCAAAATAAAGTCAGAGGACACTAGAAACCAGTCAGGTTCTACGCACAGAACAGATATCTCTGTAGACCTTTCTAGAATGTCCACAGGCCACCTGTCACAAGGCCCCAGGAGACATCAATGTCCTGCCTGCTGCTTTTTAAATTAGAGAGACAACTGAGTCTTATGACAGTCTTGGGGCCACATAGAGGGCAGAAAATCACCCAACATCTCAACAATCAAACAAACAAACCCAACCAAGCAAACAGTGTCTCCCTATGGAGTCCAGACTGGCCTTAGGCTCCTAACCCTCCTGCCTCAGGGTGATTAAAGCTCCCAATCTGCTCTGCAAGGCAGTTGAATTACAGACTAGGAAGTTTTTATAACCGTTTAAACACATGCAGTGCTCCTAAATTCCAGTATGTTCTCAACTTGTTTCTCTCTATAAGACTCTATTTAGAAATAAAGTTGATAATCACATTTATTTAATTAGAGCTTCACTGTCTGAAATAACACAGATCACTCGACAGACTCCTCAGTCCTAAGTTGCAATGACCTTGCTTTGGTGGAGAAAGTCCAGAGATCTGGAGAACATGCGTTCCAGGCCAACCATGGACTGGCTTCTCCTTACAGGAACTGTCAGGATAAGTAGAAAGGCGGTGATGGCTAGAAAGAACTTGTATGATGCAACAACTCTGAGTCTCTTCCCTTGCCTGCCCTTCTCATGCTCTCCCAAAGCCAGCAGCGCCACCTATAGAAGAGCATGGGAATTTTAACAGGTGGCTCCAGACCAAGGAATTTGACTTTTGTTTGCTGGTTGAAGAACCATAGCACTGATCTACATCACGTTCTGCACCGTAATTGTGTGCCTGTTTCTCTCTCTCTCTCTCTCTCTGTCTCTCTCTCTCTGTGTCTGTGTGTGTGTGTGTGTGTGTGTGTGTGTTTGTGTGTGTCACTAACGACTCCTCTAGCTGGCGCACACTGACCTCTGAGCACCACTACTCTTTCCTCCGTCTATTGATTCAAGGTTGGGGCCATCACACTCTTTCTACGACTGTTTGCTTTCAATTTCTGAAGCTCACCTGGGCTCAGTGGCTCCAGGTAGATCGGCCAAGAGCTAGTCACATCTTCACTACCCACCTCATAGCTTGAGTGAGCTCTAGTGACACTCTGAGTGAAATTTTCATCACTTCCTATGTGTCTTCTCTTTGTTTTGAACCCAAAAATCTCTGAGTCTGAGCATCTTCACCGGGTGCTCGTTCACGTCAGAGATCTCATCTGTTCTGCTCCCTTTATCCTGACCTCATTTCTAAGCATCCTTTCTTTCTCACGTTACATGAGTATGGATCTTAAGGAGGGGGAAGCCATCCCAGGGCAGATGTTCTGAAGTGAGCTTTCAACTTCTCACATAAAACGTTAGAAGCAGAGGGCTAGATTTCTGGCTTTAGAAAGACAATGTGCCTAAAGGCATCCCTGGTGGCCCCGGAGAGCCTCTTGGAAATGGCACCTTAGTTTCAGGTCAGTTTTGAGTGAAGTAGTTAGCAGGAGTTAATACCTGTATCATATGACATCAGCAGTCCCCCACCTGGACATTCTACTGTATCCTGGAGAGCCCGGAATTCTGTGATGTCACCAGTGTTGTGGCAACGCCAACTGCCCTTGAGGCATTCGTTCAGTGCCTGTGTGGTTCACCCACAGTCATGCTGACACGACTGAGCAGGCTGCTTGGGAGACGGGATGGAGTGCGCAGAGAGACCAGAGAGAGGCCCAGGGAAGATGGCCTTCAGTCTCTGAGTCACACATCAAGAAATAAATGGTTCTGGGGAAAGCGCAGTGAGTACTGGGCAGGGGACAGAGAGATTCCTGAAGGAGGAAGGCTTAAGTTGATCCTTTCAGGAGTGGGTCTCAGGAGGTGGGGGTTCCTGGAAAGTGATGGTCCTCTTCTGTTCTCCCAGTTACTAAAGAGGAGACCCAGAGTCGAGAATGTCTGATGGTGTGTTTGGCAGAAAGCCAGGGATGGTCAAGGCTTCAACTGCTGTGCCCAGGGCCCACTGCTTTCCCTCGGTCTCTGAGTGGGGGACACAGAGGGACCACAGTGGTTCCAGTTCCAGCCCTGCCCTTCACCCACACCGGATTTCTTTTGGTTCTGTGTCACTAAAAACAGGGAGAGTAAATCCTCCAGACAAAACTGGAGGTTTTCCCATTTTACATCACAACCTCTTGCAGGGAATGTCAGTGACCCCTAAGGTTTCTGAATTCCTCTCCTCTCACTAGATCATCTCTCCTCTAACTAGAGTGCAGGAACGGGCCATCACTCTTCCTGCAAGTGTTTGTTCCTGGTATCTGGGGGCTCCCCTGGGGACGCGCAGGGCTTAGGTATATTCAGTCTCACCTATGAACATTTGGCCATGCCTTTGCTAACACTGTGGGGGCTGGAAAGTTTTCTTCAGAAGCTTTTGATGAATTTTTCATTATTACCCATGTGGTTTATCATTGTTCTGACAGGACACCCACAATCTCCCACCACCCCATACATTGTTTAGGCCCATGGATTTACCCTGATCTCTTGTTCACTTTATGGATCTGATCTTCCTTCCCCATCATTCTGGTCTGAGCATCCTTTATTTCTCATCTTATTGATTAGTCGTCTTAACGATGGGAAGAGCCATTCTTGGGCAGTGTCTGGAAAGTAAATCTTGTCCTCCACCCAGGATGAACTTATGAATTAGAGCGAACTAGATTCTAATGAATCAGGGAGACCTCTGGTTTGAAAGGAAGAGGTGCTGAAGGGCTTCTGCGGTGTCCCAGGGCAGGCTCCTGGAAAGGGTTGCTTGGTTTTTGGTGAATTGGGAAAGCGCTATCTATCAGAAAGGTGATGATCCTAAAAGTCTCTTGTCTGGACATTCTATTGTATCCTGGAGAGCCCTTGGCATCTCCTATGACATCACCAGTGTAATGGCAACGCCAACTGCCTTGGAGGCATTCATTGTTTATACGGTTCACCAAGAGACATCTTGGCAAGATTAAGTAGACGGATTGACAGAGAAATCTTTGGTTTTCTAAGAAGGTGAGACTCAAATTTGACCTTCTAGAAATCGGGTTTGGTTGCTGAGACCATCTGAAGCAATGGGCCTATGCTGCTTCTCTGGTTTCCTAAAGAGCAGACCACAATTGGAGAGTTTCTGACGTTTAATTTGGCAGGGAGTTAGGAATGGTCAAGGCTGCAGCTGCCATGCTGGGAGCTCATAATGTAATTCTGAGTGGGAAAGAAGGCAGCAGGAGACAGTGTCCCTGTGAGTCGTCAGGGTCGGGTGTCCCTGCCTTCATCCCCAGTGGATTTCTGTAGGTTCCATGGGTCTCTGATGTGAATACCAGGGAGGGAAACTCCCCATCCCTGCACTCAGCTCTGAGACATTCAGTTGCTCTTAGTCTTGAACACAGGTTAGCCGGTGATGGAGGTGCAAAGCATCAGGGTCTCAGGACCTTCCTGCTTCTCATCAGACAGGAGCTGACATTTCCAAACCAGCGTGACTGTGATGGAGGAGGGTTATCTGTCTATTGTGTTATTTTCATTGGTCAATAAAGAGACTGCCTTGGCCCTTTGATAGGACAGAAAATTAGGTAGGCGGAGTAAACAGAATAGAATGCTGGGAAGAGGGCTATGAGCCAGAAGCCATGGAGCCAGCCACCAGGTCAGACATGCTGAATCTTTTCCGGTAAGCCACCACCTCGTGGTGTTACACAGATTATTAGAAATGGGTTAATATCAAGATATGAGAGTTAGTCAGTAACTAACTCTCTAGAGATAATGGGACAGGCAGTATTTAAATGAATACAACTTATGTGTTATTGTTTCTGGGGCTAAGCTAGCCATGCGGGAGCTGGGCAGGACGAAAAGCAGGCCTGCCCGCAACTCCTTACTATATGACTGGGCTAGCACATACCTCCCAGGATCAGTGGTGCTGCAGTAGGGACTGATGTGTTGTGGGATATTTTACTCTTTTGGCTTTCTTGGGGGACCTGCCACCAAGCTCCCAAATAAGTCACATTCTTTCTTGTGAATGCCCGGGCAAACCTTGGCATATTTCTTGTCAGCTTTTCTTGACTCAGATTTTCCCGACTCCCTTTTGCCTCTGGGCTTTAATCTCTCTCTTCTGGAAACCTTACTTTCACTCTTACTCCATGGCTGCTGAGTGAGCTGGGGGCCCCTGGAGTCCTCCCCTCTTGGTCTTGGGCTCCTCCTTTTTCTCCTCCCAGAGGTCACCTTCTGTTTATATCTCTGCCTGCTAGTCCCACCTATCCCTGCTCTGGTCTCACTGTTGGCTGTCCATCTCTTTATTAGGACCATCAGGTATTATAGACAGGCACAGTAACATAGCTCCACAGAGTTAAACAAATGCAACAGAAACAAAAATCACACACCTGAAAGTAATATTCCCCAACACTGATGGACATATCTAGTGGCCGGGATTGGGGAAGGAGACATGGCTTATGGGTCCCAACTTGAGCATAGTTGTTCTGCCCTTTGTGGTCTTCAGTGAGTTCCATGCATTCTCTCTTCCTCGGGTGTCTTCTTGGGACTCAACATGGTCTCTCATGGCCCTGTACCATCTCACTGGACACATTCACTGATGTTTATCTACCTACAGGGAGTGCTGGAAAAACATCAACCTCAACCTCCGCCACTGAGCAGGAGCAGCAGATGAACAAGGTCGATGAATTGACCCTTCAGCTTCAGATGATGACCAATGAGAGGGATGAACTTCGTGCAATCCTGGCCAATTACACCAACAATGATGTGAACAACAGGTAGTCACTATGTCCAGTTCTCTGGTGACTGTCTTGACCCCCCTGTGTCCACCCCAGCATTCCTCATGTCACTAGAGGCTGCATCTCCAAGGTGTCCTCCTGCCCAAACTACTTTTCCTGAGTGCATCTGAGAGGCAGAACTGAAGCCTGGGTAGGAGTGAGATGGGGACGCAGGCTGTTCTGCTTCCTCCCATTGAAAAGCAGAGCCCGTGGCCTGAGTCACATTCTATGGATGGGGCAGCACTGTGTGAGCTCACAACACGCATTTCAAAGAGGCCTTGACAGTATTGGCTTGTGGGAGATGCTGGGTGCTGTGTTCATGGGCGCCTTTGTATTTGACTGGGGGATTTCTTGCTGGTTGCTCTGAGAGCAGGGCCTGGTCTACTACATCCATCTCAGTGTGTGACTGGGAGGCCTGGAGCTCATCCTGGCAGCTGTCTGCTCTTGTTCCTTGTACTCTGAGACAATGCCACCTACCTGCCTGTCTCTGGTATCCTAATTGTGTATGGGTTTATGTGTGTAGGCTAATGGGCCCAAATATTGCCAATGTGGCAGTGACAGGTTTTCCCTTTTCACCTCCCTCTCCCTTGGTAAAACATTAAATTGCATTCCTAAAATCAGTCCCCAAGGCTCATTCCTTCTTTGGTCACTGACTCAATCCTGAAGCAAACACCAAGATCCAGAAATTAAAATTCATTATTTGACTGTACTGGCTTACCTGTCCAATCAGGTTTCACCAACTCATCCTAGCAGACTTCCTCTTATCTCCTTAAAAACCCACAGATGAAAAAAAACGCATATTGCTTGCTCTCAGCCTTTGTCTGATTCAGCGGCAGTCCCCCCCCAATTCCATGATTGCCCCTCTGGGTCAATAAATCTTCTTTGTTCTGTGCTGTCTAAGTGTGTTCTGTACTGTCTCTGATGGGTTCCCTTATAGTGTGTGTTCGTGTGTGTGTTTCTGTCCAGATCCTGTGAGTCAGAGATTGGTAACAGGACTGAGGATTTGTCTGTCTCAGAGTCTCAGGTGATATAAATGCTGAGGCCAGGGAGTCCCACTTTGAGCATCCCTGCCCTCATTCTTTGTACTGGCCTTGGTGACTGAAGGGAATTACCTGGGGAGTTTATAAAGTCATTGTACTGTACAGTCTCCTCCATGGAAATCCTGATTATGAGTTCTGGGCATCCCTGTGATAACAGGCACACAGAATAGACAATCCCTATTCTGAAGACAGGAGACATGACATCACAGGATTCAGGAAGGCCCAGACTCATGGCACAGACTCCTGGGACATCTTAAAAAGAGCTAATTTGTTCCTCCAGGCCTACTGAGAAAACTCGTGTAGCCCTGTCTGTCTCCCTCTTGAAGCTCTGCCTTTCTGGCCCTGGGGCAGCTTAACAAGTGTAATAAACACCAACAGGTCCTAGTACCTAGGATTCAGGATGTGACATCCAGTGGACTAGGATAATCCAAGACACAGCCTCAATTCATGTGTTCATGGGCTGCTAATGACTGTGTTCATGAGGTTCTTTGTTCCTGGGCCCATGCTCTGCCACAGGCTGAATTCTGAGCTGGAGCAACTGAAAATGGATCATCAGAAGAAGATGTCGGATGTGAAGAAATTCCACAAGGAAATTAGTGAGGGCTCATACAAGTGCAAGGAGCTGACTGAGAAGATCGACTCCTACCGGTAAGTCTCTGATTGGATAGGACCCCCGCACTTCGGAAGGACAGCTGCTGTCCCCCTTTTTCTTTGAACCAAAGTGAGAGCTGTGGTCCTAGCTTGTCTACCTTGTACTTGTCCTCCCAGACTGATTTCACCCAAGAGCAAGGAATCTGAGAGCCACTTCCAACATGATCCTATCAGTTTCCAGAGCTTCTAGAGAAAAGACATGGTTTACACCATGAATGTTCTCTGGGACTCTGACAGGGGCTTACAGAGCCTGTTGCTATGAATTACAGATGTGGAATGTATTCCCCTTGGGTCCTCTGTCCTCCTTCAGACCATGTTTGCTCTATACCTGATGATGTTTTCCTAATACCATGATCAGTGTAGGACCGGTGTGTGTTGGGGGTGCAGAGTCCCATTCTCAGAGGTGCATCACCTGGGTGATGCTGACCTGGCTAATGTGGGCTGCAGTCTGGGGCTGTCTGAGGACATGGGACCTTGCACGGAATGTGGCATTAGTAGGTAAGAGTGGCAGATGGAGGTAGACTGGAGCTCATCATTGTTTGTGGTGGTTAAGCACCCTGCACAGCCGGCTGCTGGGGGAATGGACACAGATGAAGGAAAAAGTGGGCATGTTGAAAGAAGACAAAAGAAAGCTGAAAGAGAAGCAGATTTTCCTGCAAGAGTCCTGTGAGGAGACAAAGAGGCGCTGTGAGGAGGCCCACGAGAAGATCTATAACCTCTGGACCAAGCAGCAGCAGGTAAGCTGAGGCAGCAGGAGCAAGCAGCCCACCTATCTAACCGCACACACACATATGTACACCGTCATGTAACCATCCACTCAGTTACCCAGCTGACCACCTCCATTCCATCTCATAATTCATTTCTGGGATCCTTCACCAGTCTTCCTGGGGAGTTAGCCTCTTGGAAGACACAACCTGACTGACAAACAAACCATCCCGCTCTGGTAGAAGCTGCAGTCTGTTGAGGGAGATGGGTAAATCACATATTACACACCTCCACGTCAGTATGGTAGGAAGGGTCTTATACTGGGAGCCACATAGGGAGAATCACAGAACTTTGAGTGAATGTGTGAGTGAAGACAAGGGCCTGTGGATCATTTGCTTGGTAGAACAGAAATTTTTTTGTTCAGGAATGCCATTCCTGCCCATGATTGACTCCAGAGCTATTTTGAAAACTAAAAGTAGACTTCTTTCACCGAACTGAAATGTCTGCTTTGTCTCATTGACTTCACAACACAGAACCTGGCAGGAAAGCCCGGTTGAGGATATGTGTCTTTCTCTGCTCTTAGTGAAAGGTGATTGTACACTAATGACTTTCCTGCATCCTGTTTTGTTCTTCTCATCATTGCCTGCTGCCATTTTTCTTTTATCTTAGTCTAATCTTGGTGCACTTGGCTTTGTCCTTGGAACTTGGCCTGAATTTTGATCTTTAAGAAATTCTGAAATTAAATAAATAAATAAATTCAAGAAATTCTAAACTGCAGAGGCGTCTCTCCCAGCAGAAGTCCCATAACCATGCTGAGCAGTGAGAACAGCTGTCTTAGTGCAGCCCACTTAGGCTCGTCCTAGTCTACAGCACTCACTGCGTGTTGTGTCTGCAGCGCTCAGAAGCTGCTTTCATTCCCAGCTTCTTTACGCTGAGTTAAACTTGGCCTGATGGGGGTTGGGAGAAATGAGGACTCTCAGACATTGATATGGGGTAAAATGGTGTAGGCCTGGGGGAAGCGATGTATAATTGTTCAGAAACTTGGATTGCAGTCCCCAGATGACCCAGTGATCCCAGGATGAGAAGTAAGGGCCCACAGAGAATCTAGGGGACACTCAGGTTATAGAAGCATTATTCAGAGCACCCCCAAACCAGAAAATACTCAAATGCCCATCATTTATGAGTAAAAATTCAGTGAAATCAAGCCCTTCCATGGAATACTGTTAAGCATGAAGTAATACATGCACTCATTTGGCCATGAGGCAGTCAACCTTCTGTTACTTAGAGAAATGCCTAACATAACCGTCTTACAGGATGGAAAGGTTTATTTGACTCCTGGTTGTAGAGATTTTCTGGTTTCCTGAACTCATTGCTTGACCTCATTGGGCCTAAATTGAGGTAACCTGTTGTTTAGAGAGCTCCTTTTGGAGGAAGCTGCCCTCCTGGAGCCACGGGGAAGCACTGAGTGAGAGCAAGGGACTGGTCCACCATCAGGCGGTGGTCCTGTACCACGGACCTAAGCCTTTAAAGTAGACTGGAAAACTTGCATAGCCAAGCTATGCAGCTTGGCTAACTGGTGAAGGAACCCTGGCATCTACCATTCTGTGGCCTTGGTTATAAGGCAAGCACTGCATTGACTGATCTGCCCACCGTGTTCTTCTCCCAGGGACCAGGCATGCATGTGGTGCATAGACACACGGGCAGGCAAAACACTCACACGTGTAAAGTAGAAATAAAATGAAAAATTCTCAAAACAGATTCGAAGTACACAATCCTCACCACATCACCACATCCTTGTTGCGGAGTTGGAATATGAGGGGGAGAGGGTGTGGTCTAATGAAAGTTAACTGTCTTCTTTATAGGATCCCAGGTGATCTCTTCCTCCTTTAGTGTTATCTCACAACTAAACATGTGGATGCCAAGCAGTGTGCTTGTATGTGTGCATCCATGTACGTCTGTGTGTTTAGGAGTGTGTGTTTGTGCGTGTCTATTGCATGCATGCACACATGATTACATGGGTGCAGACAACCTTGTCCTAAGAACACAATTTTCTAACGAATAGGAACAACAAAGACTGGGGAAACATCTTCATTCCCTGCTGAAGCAGAAGGAACTGGTTACCCAGCAAAAGGACATGGCAGTAAAGCTGCAGCATCACTTTACAAGGTAGGAGCACTGACTGGAAGAAGTTGGAGTCTAGTGGATCCCCTGTACCTGGATCTCTGTCCTCTTTGGGTTTTTGTTCATTTGGCAAGGCTCCCAGCCACAGCCAGGGAAAGAATACCTCAGGGTATGGAGTTGGCTAAACACCAGGAACTTTTGTCCAGGAAACAATATGTTTGGTTATTGGTCTTTTGGGGATTGTGTCCCCTTCTTCTCTTGTGAGAAGGGGGAGGTCAATTGTGATGGACAGTGTGTCCTCTGCCACTTCATTTTCCTTCAGGAACATCACATTGAGAGAGAAGTTTCTAGTGGGGCTGATTTGAATGCAGCACACTCCTGCTGGTTGCAGGCTCTCTACAGGGCTCATCCGTTTCCTGTGAGAAGATTTACTCTGGCCATGAACAGATTAGGAGTGGACAAAATTAACCCCATGCAGGTTCTGAGCTGTAGGGATGATCAGAACCTTCTCTGCAGTGTTGTGTAGGCTCCACTAGAGGGCAGACATAGAGTTTTACAGGTTGCTCACATTCACCTGGTATCCTATCATGGCCAGACATTGCCATTTCTCCAAAATAATGTTTGTGGACTGTTGGAAAAATTGGCTGTTTTTTTCTAGTCAGCACAGTGTATTTTTCAGTTCAACTTCTAGCAGTTTTTAAAAGTTGAAAACATCCAGCCCAGGGTCTCTGTGACCCTTCTCCCTTGGGGGAAACAGAGAATGAACTCAGCTAAAAGGTAGTGCTGGATTGTCTAGCTGGTGGGGGCTCAAAAGGTGACATGGCAGGGTGCCACCAGGCCTCGGTCCCAGCTGTCTTCCTCCTCTTGGTCTGAGCATCTCCAGCATGAGCTGGAACACAGCCCAGGAGGAGAGCCTCCTGCAGATGGAGCTGTGCAGCAGGAGCGCTATGTGCCAGGCAGGTGAGCCACCATTGAGCCCCATTCCCACCCACCCATTCAAGGTGTGGGTTTTATTCCTTGACTTTATTTTACTAGAGTTGACTAGGTCCTAATTTTTTTTTCTTGCCAGTGTCCCAGAGAGAAAATTTCTATGTCTGATTTTCATTTCTTCTCTGACAGCACCTCGGAAGAGAACTGAGAAGGCTGGAGGAAGCCAGAAACACCTTGAAGGCATGACATTCTACACTCCAGGATCCAGGCCTCCTCTGCAAAAGCCACATCCTTGCTGCTGTGAACGCAGCAGTGAGGAAAATATCAACCTACCATCAGAGGATCCAGCCGCAATCTGATCCACCTCTGTCAGCTCACGATTTCCAGAGAAAAGACTGCACCAAAAATAAGCTTGTAATTCAGAGGACACCCCACAAATTACTCAGAAGCCTAACATCTATTACCAAGTGGCCCCAGTGTGGGCAAAACAACATGGAGGGAGATATGTGGGTGAGCAAGAATTATTCTGTCAGCTACGGTCTAGGGCTTTGGCGAGTTGACTCCATATGTGATGTGGAATCTGACAAGGAAGACTCTGTCACACTGCTATCCAGACAGACCGCACCCAAAAGCCCAAGATTCTCTCTCTAGTGCAGAGCTGACGCTGACCCCATATCACACACAAGTGTTGGTGATGATAATTCCCTACAAGGCCTAATCCACTTCCTCGTGGCTCATGTTATTAATTTGCTTTTTCTTAAAAAATTCCAAAGGGAAGTGGGAATTTTGCTTAATTTTGTTTGGTTGGTTGTTTTTGCTATGTTTTAGGTTGTTTTGGTTTGGTTTATATCTCGGGGTATCTATGCATTACTTTTTTGGTTTTCTTCATTTTAGTGTAAGGTTCTGTTAGTTTTTGTTATTTCTTTTGTTCTTTCCATTGTTTTCATAGTTTGCTAAGGTGACACACTGTCTGTAATGACCACCATCTTAAAGCCCCCATTGAATAAATGAATATTTTTTGAATAAAAAGCAATTTCCAGCTTTAACTCTTAAAACTATTCTTTAGTCAGGTGAGCTGTCACCCTCCTGTAAACCCACAACTCACAGGCATAGATCTGTATCAGCAATTTCCAGGCACCTTGGGCCGCACAGTGATTTCCCAGCCATGGGCTACACAGGCAAATGGCACCTTGGATATGGATACGGATGGTATGGCCTATCCATGTATACCCACTAGGCAACAGAAAACTAGACATATTGCATCTTCGGGGTCATATATTTAGCGTCCAGTAGAATGTGGTACACACACTGTACAACATGTTCATGAAATCATGCAGACCTGTAGAGGGCCAGTTTTGAACTGCATAGAAACTCTGCAAGGGAGACTTGAGGTAGCATTCTTGCTGATAGGCTTGGCAAACCAAATTGGGAGGTGGCAAACCTCTCCCATCAGTAGAGTGCCTTGCCAATGGTCAGTCCTTGAGAACACAGATGTGCACTGTAGTTCAAAGGCTCTGATTAGGTTGTGGTTTGTCTTCTGATGAGGTGTTTTTACATATTATATTAGAACAAGAGTTTTTCCCATAACACTGAGCTTTTTGTTTAGTTAGCTAGGGCACAAAGCTTTTGAAATTATTTGCAACCAAGTGACTAGTCTATGAAACTATTTTCATGTATTATGGGAACCTAGTTTAAATTGTGATTTGAGTATTAGAAAAGAGCACTGGCTTTGCAATAAAGTATGCAGTTGTATCTCCTACTCTGCATCCCCTGTGTCTTAATTTCTGCATCACTACCCAGGGGCATCCATAACCGAGGAGGTTGGGGAAGGGTCCCCAACAATTGGCACCCAAACAGGGACCCTGAAAGAACATCAGAAGTGCTGGATAATAATATAAGTAATTACAGGATAATGGGACAAGATAACTCTTCTCCGCTTCTGTCTATGCTTAAACATTTGCTGAAAACTCATGGTGCTCAGACTTAGAGATGTGTCTTGAAATTACCAGGGAATATAATCTTTGGCTTCCCTCAGATGAGAATTTAGTGGATATAGGAAATTGGGATCGGCTTCGGATGTACATTGAGAAGGCTGTGAAGCAAGGTGAAAAAAATACCAGTGCACTTTTGGTCTGTATGGTCTCTTGTTTATGTAGTTTTTAAAGCTGTGCAGACAGTGAAAGACTTAGCATCCGAGGTTCATGCTCTGGTGAAAAAGTTACAGGTTAGTGAAGAAATGAAAACTGAGATTGAAAAAAGATAATTCCTAGTTAGTTGAGAAGTCAGTTAAGGTGTCTCAGAAGGATAATGAAGTTACTAAGGAGAGGACAAATAAGTTAGAAAAACAGCTGGAAGAATTGTTAACTATCGCCAAAGATAAAGTGGAAGTAAAACTGTCAGCCCCTCCCCTGCGGAGCCAACCCTTTAAGGCAGCTGCAGTCAGGGATATGCAAAATCTTTGGATTCTTCTGATCTTGACTCTCCAGATGAGTTTGGCCTTGACCCGGATAAGGATGACCACCCTGACCATCACATATTCCCTGTCATATGACAGACGCCTGTTGGGGGAGTGGCCCAACCACCACAGTACGAAGGTATCAATGTGGATGATATAAGTAGGATTCGGAAAGCAGTTACTTTGTACGGTCCACAATCACACTACACTAAAGAAATTTTAATCGGCACTGCCTGTCAATATGGAAATTGAGCTCCTGAGGATGGGAAAATTGTGGTGCGTTCACTACTGAAAGAAGGGGGGTATTTGCGGTTTCAAATGTGGCATAATGGTTTGTGTATTGTGAGAGCAAGGCAGAACGCCCACAGTCAGAGCTACCACAGATGCTGTGTTATCAGGAACTGGGCGATTGATGATCCACATCAGCAAGTAAAAATTGCTAATGAGGCGTGGGAACGGATTAGGCCAGCCGGAGAACACAACGGGTCCTGGACTAAGATTTTTCAAAAGGCTAATGAACCTTACATAGATTTTATTGCCCACCTCAAGAAGACTATTGAGAGAACTGTAGTTGGTGAGGAAGCAAGACGGCAGTTACTGAAGTTATTGGTTTATAAGAATGCTAATGAGGATTGCGGAAGGGCCATTTTACCCACTCAGAAATCAGGGGATTTGAATCAATACGTGAAAACTTGTGACAATATTCTATCAAAGACCAGGAAAAAAAATGCAGCTTATGGCGGAAACTATGGCCACTGCTTACCATAAGCTGAATGAGAATTGAGGGAAGTATATGAAATGTCACCTTAAGAAAAACTGTAAACAACTTAAGCGGGGTGCCACACCGGGCATAAGTCCGTGATGTAAGAAGGGCAAGCCACAATGGTTTCACTCCAGCCGGCACTAAACCTAGTGCCACAGTGGACATACCAGCCGTGACTGATATAACTTTGAAAGCTGGACAATTAGACTGTTAAGGTGCCGGCTGGGATCTATGGGCCCTTGCCTCCTGGGAGTCTTGGGTTATTAACCGGAAGATTTAGCTTAAGTAGGAAAGGAATTATAGTGCATTTAGGAATAATTGGTAGTGATTATAAGGGTGAAAACAAATTATGATGTCTGCTATTGCTGATTTGGAATTTTTAAAAATATTGCTCAATAACTGCCTTTACCTTATTTGCCTATCGGTCAGTCTTCTGCTGGAAGGACAGGAGGTGTGGTGTAAATACAAAAAAGGTTAGGGCACATGGAGAAAAACAAGTAAAAAGTAACTGAGTATTATTGTAAAATAGGAAGTAACTTAAGAAGTAACTTGTATATAAGTGTTTAAAAAAACAGTAAATGAATATGGCCCAAGAAAACAGCCAAGAGCTGTTTGTACATTTACTTAGACACTTTAAAGGTCAGGGGACTAAGGAAGGACAACAACAATTGCTTCAGTTTTTGAAGTGCATAAAAAAAATTTGTGTCCCTGGTTCCCTGCAGAAGGGAGTATGAATCTAGAGATTTAAAAAGGTATGTGCGAATGAATGAGTTTGCGCTTTGTCTGTGTTTTACTGTTACTATGTTGCTGTTTTAAGTGTTCATGTCTTTGAAAAGCTTAAGTGGTACCGGTACCTGTCTGTCTGTCATTACTGTCCGTTTTTGTTTCTTGATCTTTGTTATCCCGGAAGAGATGAGGCAGGTAGCCCCTGCCTCTAGCTTTCTGTGCATTTTTATTGGATCAGTTCCAGGACTTTGGGTCCTGAAAGAAAACCTTCTCTAAGGAGCGGCATGACAGTGGCCACCTCCCTTCCTTGTTCTCTGGCCCACAGCCAGCCAGCAGCTCCTGCAGAGGGCAGGGGATGCAGGCTCAGGTATGCTCAGGTGGGCAGAGATACTACAGGGAGACATGTGCTTGTGCATGGGGCGGCAGGGAATTAACTGCTTGAAGTTGAAAAACTGCACAGATGTGGATGTGTAACAGAGAATCTTTGATGGTGGCTGGAGAAGTCAATTTTTTTTTCAGGAATGCTGGCAGTTAAGAACACTCTGTGCCCACCAGCGCTGCTCCCCCACTTTTCTTTCCTAAGTCAAGTTCTTCTTCACTGTGATGACACTCAAGGTCTCTTCTGCTGGTCAGAAATTTCTCATTTTAACCCTTCTCTGTCTTGATTTTAAAAAAAATGTTGAGTTATACCAACATGTGTACTTTGAAAAGCGTTGATTTAAAATAATAGTTAAAGATGCATTATGTTTGGGGAAAGTTATGCTTTTGTTTTTACAGAAAAAATATATGCATTTTAATCATTTAGATCCAATGGGTTACAAATACTTATCATTTTTAAAGGAAATTGGGTACAAATTATTATTGGTTAAGATAAAGAAAGCTACTGCTGGTTTCAAAAGTTTCATATTAGTACAGGTTTTTATATGTCACTACAAATTTAAGTTATTTTTATTGTGATACATACACACATACATACATATATATTTTGGCTTTTGTTTGAAGTGTATCTATGCAATGTTCTGGACAGCTGGATAAACTCACGAGAGAAGACATTCATGAAGATTTACATGTTATCTAATGAACAAGGGGACAAACTAGAGACTAAAATGATATTAAAAAACTCATCTATGGACAATAATGAGTTTTAAGAAAAACTATAAAAATTCTAAATAATTATGTTGTGCTATTTCTGATTGACTTCTCCATTAATAAGACTGGTGATTCTTCACTGATGAAATGTTAATTATGCAATCATGTTCTTTAAAGGTAAAAGGAAGACTGAGGTCCTAAATACAAGTTAATAATCATCATAACACAAGCAATCCTCTGAGTTACAGGGTTCTATATGATTGCCCTCCTACAAAATAACTCCTTAATGGGTAAAATGGCCCTTTGGCAATCCTCATTAGCATTCTCATAAGCCAATAACTTCAGTAACTGCTGTCTTGCTTCCTAACCAACTACAGTTCTCTCAATAGTCTTGAGATGGGCAATAAAATCTATGTAAGATTCATCAGCCTTTTAAAAAAATCTTAGTCCAGGACCCGTAGTGTGATCTGCCCAGTCCCGTGGCTGCTTATAAATAATTAGTCTGAGGCTTAATATTAATTATAGTTGTTTGGCCAATACTCAGGCTTATTACTAGCTAGTTCTTACACTTAAGTGAACCCATTTCTATCTGAGGCTTAATATTAATTATAATGTTTGGCCAATGACTCAGGCTTATTACTAGCTAGTTCTTACATTTAAGTGAACCCATTTCTATTAATCTGTGTATTGCCGCATGGCTGTGATTTACCACTAATTCTTGGCATCCCACTCTTCCGGTGGCATCTCCTAGACTCTGATTTCCTTCTCTGTATCTCTGTTTGGATTTCCTGTGTATCTATAATCTGCTTGACCCTTGGCCAAATCAGTTTCTTTATTAAGCATTGGTAGTAAAACGTATTCACAGCATACAGTGGGACGTTCGACATCACACAACTACATTGTTCCTGGCCTCTCCAGAAATGAGAACATTCAACAAAGGAATATACAAAAGAAATCAGGGAATGCAAAGCAATCTGCCTCTGGTTTTCTTGAAATGTACGTGGCATGCAAAAATGATAACCCAGAGCAGAAATAATGTCCTCCAGACATGTTGGGTCATTTGGTGGTGCTTTTATTTCTACTTGTGGGTCGTTTGCCACCACATAATGCAATTCCCACAGTGGCCAGATGAGGGCAGTGGATGCCACCTGGAAAGCGCTTTAAAGACGTTTGTTTGCTGTCCTGTGGTTCTTCTGAGACAGCCAAAAGTGCTCCTAATGCATGAGCCATCTCTCCAGTCCCGCTCTTGACTTTGTCCTCCCAGTCCTATGTGCTCTATTAGTTGGATCGGATCACCAAAGACAGAAGTTTCTTGAGACCTGTAGGGACAGGTACAAGAAGTAAGCATGTTAATCGTCTTAGGCTGCCACACATCCATGCAAGGCTCACATAGGTTCAGGACCCAGCCCCAACAAGACTGACTGTTGGATTGGAACGGATTTTTCACTTGTCATCTATGATGACAATGTAGGTTAGGATTGTCTAATCAAATGCAGAATTTGAGAAGACCCTACAGGGGGTAGAGGTAGGATAAGGAACCCCTCTTGATAGTCTAACTAAGCAACATTATG